TTCGTAAATCTCGTTATCCATGATTCCCTCAAGAAAGTTACATTAAAGTCAACTTGATTTTAATAACGTTCATACTGTGACATATTTTAGAGTGAAACAGGATGTTCTGTGAGACAATAATATAGAGCAAGACTTGGCTGGATTGTGAAAAGCAGGTTGTTGTAGGGGTGGGATTTAAAATTGAGAGGGTTTGGTCTTGTCACCCATAAAGGACAGTCAGTTTGGATTTGTTAATACATTTAGTTTCTCACTGAATCTTTCACGATAAGACCAGGAACATTTAAAGGAACACTCCACTATTTTTGAAAATAGGCTCATTTTCCAACTCCCCTAGAGTTAAACAGTTGAGTTTTACCGTTTTCGAATCCATTCAGCCGATCTCCGGGTCTGGCGGTAACACTTTTAGCTGTAGCTTAGCATAGATCATTGAATCTGATTAGACCATTAGCATCTCGCTCAAAAATGACCAAAGAGTTTAGATATTTTTCCCATTTAAAACTTGACTCTTCTGTAGTTACATCGTGTACTAAGACCGACGGAAAATGAAAAGTTGCGATTTTCTTGGCCGATATGGCTAGGAACTATACTCTCATTCTGGTGTAATAATCAAGGAACTTTGCTGCCGTACCAAGGGTACAGCAGCAAAGTTCCTTGATTATTACGCCGGAATGAGAGTATAGTTCCTAGCCATATCGGCCAAGAAAATCGCAACTTTTCATTTTCCGTCGGTCTTAGTACACGATGTAACTACAGAAGAGTCAAGTTTTAAATAGGAAAAATATGTAATAATGCTACCGTCAGACCCGGAGATCGGCTGAATGGATTCGAAAATGGTAAAACTCAACTGTTTAACTCTAGGGGAGTTGGGAAATTAGCCTATTTTCAAAAATAGTGGAGTGTTCCTTTAAGAAAGGAAAATAGGCTCGTTTTTGATTTCTTGTTCACTTAAAGGTTAATATCTGAGACCATGAAGGACATTAAACCCATTGTCTTGATTAAGCTATGCACAGCATGATTGTCAATAGTGTTGATTTATGTTAGTGCAGCACTTTAGAATAATGGGGTTATCCTAGAAATTAGATGGTTTTCAGCAAAATGTTCCACATAGAAACTTCAGGCTCAGCTGATATTAAACCGGTGCGGTGCATAAAAATATTAATTAATAACCTAGCACTTGCATATCACAGATAAATTGCACGCAGTCACATTGTTTTAGGGTCTCAGAGTACAATATTATAATTGTGATGATTTCTGTCTTTATATAACCAAAGTGAGTTGTTAGATTAGAAATACATTTTATTTGTTGATTTATGTAGTTAACTATTCAAATGTTTCGGATCGGTACAATTTTTAAAAATATTCTTGAATGAAGTGTTTTATGCTTATCAAGGCTGCATTTATTTGATGATAAAATGCAGTAAAAACAGCTATATTATGAAATATTATTACAATTTAAAATAATTTTCTTTCTTTTTTTTAATAATTAAAAATGTAATTTATTCCTGTGATGGCAAAGCTGAATTTTCAGCAGGCATTACTCCAGCCATCAGTGTCACATGATCCTTCACTCTAATATGCTGATGTGGTTCTCAAGAAACATTTTTATTATTATTAATGTTGAAAATAGTTTTGCTGCTTAATATTTTTGTGGAAGCTGTGATTTTTATTTATTTATTTAAAAAAAAAATTCCAGGATTCAAATAGAAAGTTCAAAAGAACAGCATTTATTTAAAATATAATTTTTTTGTAAATTTTTACTATCATTTATAATCGATTAAATGCATCTTTGCTGAATAAAAATATTAATTTCTTAAAAAAACATCTTACTGACCTCAAACTTTTGAATGGTATAGTCTGCAAGCGTAAGTTTTATTTGTATTATATTTATTTAAAGGAGACATATTATGCCCCTTTTTTACAATATGTAATATAAGTCTCTGGTGTCCCCAGAATGTGTCTGTGAAGTTTCAGCTCAAAATACTCCACAGATCATTTATTATATCATTGTGAAAATGCCTATTTTGAGTGGAAGTAGAATCACGGTGTTTTTTGGGCCTGTCTCTTTAAATGCAAATGAGCTGCTGCTCCCCGCCCCCTTTTCCAGAATAGAGCTGTGCCATTACAGCTCGGACCTGCTAAAAACATCTGTTTTGGTTCTGATTATCATGTTTATCATGCACCGGGGACCTGATTATAGCACTTAAAACCTGAAAAAGTCAGATTTTCATGATATGTCACCTTTAATGTCTGAATGTCATTTTGTATGTACGTATGTCTGTTTTGCTTAATATAAAAATGCAGTGAATATTTATATACTGGCACTGTACCTTGTGTATCTTTGTTGTAAACCTGATGTCACATTAATGTTTTAATTTATGCGCGTGCGTGAGCGTGTGTAGTGTCACTGTTCCAATGTTTAATGGGCATTACTGGTGTCCATGACTTACTAGATGGGTTTTTGGTTGATGACACCTCATTACCTCTCCAGCATGTGTGGCTCTAACTGATGATCTTTCCATCTCTTTTCTGACTTCATGCCACTCTGTAGAATATATTATTCAGATCAGACCTGCTCACATCACTTGCTGCTGCTGCTGCTTCTTCTCATTAGTCTTACAGAGAATAGAAGTCTGTATTCAATAATTGACTTTCACATGAGCTGCTTTCTCTTTCTGTATGTTCTTCTCATTGACCAAACCTGTCCTCAGAGCTTTCCTTCAAACTTTCTGGGGTTCACAACTGAACAAACAAAAGCACATTTGCATCAGCGAAAACAGTCAGTGTGTTTGGAGGACTATAATGCCAGAAATCATTTGCAGGCTCATTAGGCTGATGGGATTGGGACAGTACTGGAATGTCATTAGGGTTAAATCAGAAGATGCTGTGATTGTATTATGCTCGACGAGTCAGGAAATGGGCTCTTCGCTTTTGTCCCTCTGTCATTCTCACAGTAAAACAGAAAAATCCCTTAAAATATTTCCTGGAGGAATCATTTATCATTGTTAAATGACTATAAACAACTACAGTAGCATTGGACATTCACTTGAATTTGTCCATCCACAGCACAGATGCTTTCCTCCTGTGGCATGTAAAGAGCTTCATGTTTGTTTGAGGTTAATTGCTTTCCCAATCAGTGAGTTTAATAGGATCATTTAAACACTGCTAAGATCCTCATGTGGATCTGAGAGACTCTGTGTTCACAAGAGAGAAAAACACTCCCAAAAGTGCTCTGATTAATGAGAGAGGCTGATGCTAACACAGGTTCCCTACTGCGTGTCAGCTACTAGTTTAATCTCTTATTGAGGCTTTAGTAGAACGATCAAGAGATGGGGAGAAGACTTGGGAATGCTGGCTAATTAACCTAATGATTGAGAAGCTCTTCTTTGGTCGATGCTGATAAACACAGTGATTATAGATAGATGCCCTGAAAATATAAGACTGGATGCACGAGTCAATAACTATCTATCATAAGTCCTGAATGAAGGAATGAAGTGCTCAAAACATATTATTTGGTGTTCCTTTATGTTCTTATTTATAATGACTGAGTTTATTGCATAGCATTTGCTGCCCTCTACTGGTGTGTAGGCAGTCATACAGTTTAAAGTCAAACTCTTGTTCTAAAAGTTAATGGAAAAATAATATTTTTTTTCCCTCTGTCTTTAAGCTTTACTTCTAAACTGCTTAGGGCTTAACATGCTTCGTATATGTACCCTAGCACGCAGATTATGGAAAATGTTCTTGAAGTTTGTGTTATTGTGAATGAACTGTAAATTATTGATTTAAAATGCTAGTGTTCATGCTAGAAAGCTGTTAATTAAATGTTTTATTTACAAATCTAGTTGATAGGATACACTAGAATAAACTCTTTAATGCTAGTTTGAAAGACATGAATACTCATCAACAATATTTAATATTTGCTATCGTTTAAAAGTTTGGGGTCAGAAAGGTTTTTTAATACTTTTAATAAAAGGACTTTTAGTTTACACCATGTGTGGTACATTGTCATGATAATCAGTACACATGTTGTCTGTACTCTCTGTATGTTTGTTTATAAATATTTTAATCTGAGAAGTGTTTCACAGTCCATACGGGCTGCGGATCACTGCCGTGACATCTGGTCCTTGACCGTGCCCTCAAATGACAGAGGGAGGCAGACTGGAGCACAGGATTAAGATATATTTTTCTTCTTTTGGTAAACAATAGAACTGCCACTGTTTGCAAGATAAATATGGAAGAGACACGACCAGAAATCTGTTTTCCCCTTTGACCTCTACAATGAATTGTTGATCAAGATTTTCAGTGAAAGCAGATCAATTCCTTTAGTTTATACATTCATAAAGTTCAATTCAACGTTTGATCCAGTCCCATATATAGGCTACATTTCAACGGCTTTATTTGACGAGAGTCATTGGAAGCAATTTGACAATAATTGCTAAATCAGGTTAAAGACCAGCCTGCAAACATAAAGCAGAAGAAAATGTCAGAAAGATGGGCACAAACAGGATTCTAGTTGAGGATTAGTGGGTTTACACTTAAGGGAGGGGAATTCGACATACGCATGGCATTGTGGCTCATTGCAGTGGGCCTGTGAATGTCCCTCTCCCTCCCACGTACCTTCTGCTAAGCCTGACACAAGATGCTCGGCAGTTGCGTCACCCAGTTTTTCTCCCAGCGGACTTTCATCTGAAATCATAAGTGACGAGCATTTTAGAAGCAGATTCTCTCTTATGAGTCTCTATGTGGCACGTATTTGTTTCTCCGGGAGCCTAGCTGAAGCATCCCAGCCAAGCTGGCGGATCAGACGGACAACCAGGACAGCTGGATTCAGCTGGTTTACCTCCACTTGGGGGAGTGTATGTCACTCCTGAATGTTTCGTAGCTTTTATTGGGGTTTCAAATGAGTGCACTTGGACTTGGAGACTGTCAGCTGGGTTGAATGGTAATATTTAGCGTTTTTCAAGTTGTTAATCGATTTTTGCTTTCTCTCCTTATCTTTCCAGGTGACCTGGCCCAACTTCAGCTGCCTCAGAAAAATGTAGAAGTGATCCAAGGGAAGATGGTAGTGCTGCAGGCTTCTTACACTGGTGTGGAGATTAAGAAAAATACAGTGGTCTGGAACTACATGTCCAGCAGCACAGAAATGGTGACTCTTTTCTATATGTTGTTTTTCTTTGTTTGTGTTGACAGAGACATTAGTGTCCTGCTGTGTGACATGCCATACTTCATCTAAAAATATTTTTTACACATCAGAATTATTTGATTTTATTAATTTGATGAACTCTTAATATTTTTTTATTCTTATTAATTGAGACAGCATTGAATATTTATACTTAATACAAATTTATTTGTCACACTAGAAATACTTAAGTGAACTGCAAAAAAGTTAAACAATTTATTTTTAAATAAATGACTTTTGAATGTTATATATACCCATTACACCCAAAAATCTCAGATGTTAAAAACATGAACATGTTATTTGTCGCTTTTATTTATTTAAAGCATACCTAGTCAGCTACTTTGACTGTGAATTAAATATAAATAAATAGCAGATAAAAATGTTAAAACAAGATTAACATAAGAAATAATAATTTAAAAAGTAATAATAATAAACAAAATGTAAATAAGCTAAGATTAAAAATAAACACCCAAGGTAGTGCAAAGTCTGTGTACAGTATACTGTGACGATGAGTAGTCAGATGTACATAGAATATAGTAGTAGTAGTAATAATAATATTAGCATAATTTAGGCTTGTCATAGTAAAAATTTTTATTTTGCCCATATAAACTGCTTTTAGTTACTAATAAACAATTAATAAATAGGTTAATATTACTATATTAATAACTATAATAATAATAATAATAATAATTGTAATCCCTTAATAATTAATATAAATATTATGGGAATTCTTAAGCTCTTTTTGTTAGAATAAATGAGAGACAATGTATTATAGTAAAAGGTAATACTCTGAAAACTATGAAATATGAATACTAATAATCACACAGTAATAAAGACTTTATAAGTAATATAGTTAATTAACTACTGTAGGTTGCTGAGCAATATAAGGAGTGCAGTATCTTGGGTCATGTGCATATATTGGCTGTTTTCAATTTGATTTCATCATTTTATAAAAGTAATTATAATGATAGATTTTTCTCAGATCGTAACATGGCATGCAGCTGATGTAATATAATGGTCACTCTCTGTCCCTGATCACTCCGGTTTGAGTTCCAGAGGTCAAGAGTGCACATAGACGAAATCCCACTCCTCATTATCACACACACACTCAAATAATCATGTGAACACGCTTCAAATGCAGTACAGCGAGGGGATTCTGCATAGATTTATAATGAAATCCGATAATGTTTTGTCAGCCCAAATTAGATTTTGAAATGGTCTGGTATTATGGGTGGGATTGTACTCATTCGTTAGTTTTTGTGCAGATGCCAGAACATTTTGCACCATCTGTGCATGTTGTGATTTGGATTATGAATGGCAGAGACTTTTCTGGACTGACTATAAAAAAATGTGTCTTAAAAATTATCACTTTTTATATAGATATTTTGTTTCTGTTTTAATTAATTAAATAATGTAGGATGGATGCTCATATCCAAATATTGCAATCACAGGATCACAAGTACAAGAAATCATGTGGGTCATCACAGCAGACTACATATCTCATATTGCCTGCAAACTTAGACCATCTTACCTTAAGAGCTAGTATAATACTGTGATTGAAATGTCCACTCTTGGCAGCAATTGTCTTTCATTTTGCATTACATGGCATCTCATTACTCTGTAAGAAACCGTGTTATCTGCAGATTGTAAAATCCTCTATCCTGCATTTTCTTCAGTTGAGATTAACTCTGCCCACTGAAGGATCATCTGATATGAATCCTTTAGACCTGTCCACTGAGAAATTCTGTGCCTGCCTCTGAGAGATTGATGATCTTATGTCATTTTTTTTTTACACAGTGGTTTAGAAATTTCCAGCCGTTTGCCTAAGCATTTTTTTGTCTTTTTTATTTTTGCAATATATTTAATTATTATTAGAAACGTCCAAACATTTGTTTTATATGTTAATACCCCCATCTGTTTATATTTTATTTAATGTGTGTGTGTGTGTGTGTGTGTGTGTGTGTGTGTGTATAAAATGTTTAACAATATACAGGTATATTTATTCATTACATGTTTCACTTTAAATCTCCTGAATTATCAACTATTCATACCTCATTTGTCATTTTGATGCCTTCCACCCTCTTCTTTGTCTTTCTTTAGATCATTTCATACGTCGGTGGAAGCTTAAGTCATAGCACTTCCCAGTTTGCTGGTCGAGTCGGTTTTATGCATAATATGCCCAACACCAACCTGTCCCTGTACATTAACAACACCAAAGCATCAGACTCAGGAAAGTACATGTGCCAGGTCATCATTCCGGAGGCCTCAGGACTCACCGGAGAGCTCATTCTTAATGTTAAAGGTGTGTACTTACTGCCACACTGTGGTGCACACATGCATAGTCCTAAAACACACATGCCTATGTACATGTCAGATGCTTGTTCTATGACACAGGCCATTCTTTCTTTCAGCGTTTTCCAGAAAGACACTTTAAATGCAGATTTAACATCACGTGACCCATCCTGTCTCTTTCAGTCCCTCCTTCAGTGCCAGTTTGTCAAGTTAAAGGAAAGCCTGTTCTTAAAGGGAACATCACTCTGGCTTGTAACTCTAATGATGGTAAGCCGGCACCAGAATACAAGTGGACCAAGACTAGCCCCACCTCAGAGATCTTCTTCCCTCCTGCACAAAGTGAGTCTATCTTTGTGTCCAAGTAAGACACAAGAATATGTTTAAATAATGTATTCATTCTCCTTTCTATTAGCATGATGTGTCTCATTAGCATTAACATGTTTCTCCAAAAATGGCTAAATTATTTTTGTAAACATGCAAATCTAACTTTACCATCCCACTGTTGTTGTTATTGTAGATGAAACGGCGGGAACTTTAAAACTGAACAATCTGAGCAGTAATATGTCGGGGAAATACATGTGCACTGCATCCAACTCTGCAGGAGTGGAGACGTGCTACATCAACCTGGAAGTCATCACATGTAATTTAAGTCGTCTGAAGATCAAAAATAAAATCGTAAATTAAAAGGCATACGTTAACTTTTCCTGTTCCTTTCGTACAGCGACTAATGCAGGGATGATCGCTGGTGTTACGATTGGTTGTATTGTGGCTCTCATCCTGATCATTCTCTTCTTCGTCTTCATGTGGACAAGACGGAAGGACACCGAAGAGGATTTGGCCAATGAAATCAAGTAAGATAATTGAGATTTGTTGATTGATTTAGTGATTTCTAACTTGTGTAGACATTAAGTTTTTTTTGTGTGTTACAGAGAGGATGCTCAGGCTCCCAAACGCGTCTCATGGGCCAAGAGTGGCACTGGATCTGACATCATCTCTAAAAACGGCACCCTGTCCTCCATTCACACCGGCTCTTACCCACGAGACACCCAGAACCACCACCATTACCCTCACTCCGACACCGCGTCCATCCTCACGGCCACAGGGGGCAGCACAACCGACTACCGCTCGCAGCCTCCAGCAGACGCCACACTGGAGCGCACATTGCCAGGCTACAACACCAACCCCACCCTGCCCCGTGGACCCTCGGGACCCCCCAGCACCAATGGAGGCTCCCAGCACACCTCAGTGCCACGGCCAGCCTCCGCCCAGCCTCGGATTCCACGTCCGCCTGTGCTGCCCACCACCGTAACTGCTGCCAACATCTCCCGCATGGGAGGGGTACCCATTATGGTGCCGGCGCAAAACCAGGCTGGCTCTCTGGTCTAGAACCAAACATTTCTGCTCAACCTCTGAAGGGAAAGAGAGAAGAGGACTGTCTGCGGTCCCACAAACTGATGCACATTGGAAAGGATGGATTGGAACCGATAAGCATATTGCCTCTGTATGGAAACCGTATGATGTAATTTTCTTTTAGATTTTTTTTTTATATAGAAAAAAAATGTAAGCAAATATATGTAAAGATGCTCATTTTATTGTTTTATAGTTTTTACTGTTCAGTGTATTACAGAAAAGCCTCTACTCTCTATAAAGTGGAACTTGTTAAACAGTAAACAAAAAGACACTGACCTGGAACTATTCACTTTTCTTTTTTTTTTCACTTTTATTTGTGTTCTTTTTTTGTTGTTACTGCTTTACTGATTGTTCTTTTTGCAATCTAAAGATGCTAACTTGCCTTGATAAAAACAAATGAAAGGTTTATTCCACATTATTTAAAGACACTCCTCATGAATAATTATGTTTACATATGTTTAATGCATATGCGATCAGTCCACCGTATTTTGCAATGCGGAAGTAAGCTATTTTGTTTGAATGGCTGCACCCATTCTTACATTAAAATGAAGGTGGATAGCATATGTTTCATAGCAGCATCTGTTAAATGGAATGTCAAGGACATCACTTAAAATGTGGCATTAAGTTGCTATATTTGCCTTTAAATGTTTTTGGCCAAATATTTAGAAATGTGTGTGTGGTAGCTTTTTTCAATTTAGAAGTGTAGAGTTTGGCGGTATCTTAATTTATATAGTGTTTTTGTACCCCATGATGATATTTTAAATCTAATGTATTGTATTGAATATGTAAACTATAATTATAAACATTCCTTTACCTTACTGTAAATAAGGTATTTATTTCTCATTCAAGGTCTGTCAAGGTCTCATAATTTCACAGCAAATAAGTTCAAGATTCTTCTAGGATACCGGATACAAAACCAAAGAGTTCATGTTCGATGGTTGTTGATGTGGGGGAAACTAGCTTTCCTTGTCATTCTTATCAGCATTGTTCCAGAGTACTGCTAATGCTACTACAGTTAAAGCTGACAAATTCCTAACAAAATGAATGGTATCTTAAGAAATATGACAGGCAGACAGGCTGCAAATGTAGGTCATAGTAAGGGTAAAAGAAAATAAATGCACCAGTGAAACATGAACTCAAAATGGACCCGATTTATTTTCTTAATACAAGTCACTGAACATCCTGGTTTTACTCAGAAATGTGTCCTATTACAGAAGTAAAATGGGTTGCAAATGGCAGTTCACTTTAAGTATAGCAGACCATACAATAAATCACAATCTAGAAGTATGCCAAATCATGTTGTATTTTTTTTTTACCACATATTTCATAAATGCTTTTTAAACAACTGCTGTATCTTTTAAGTATGTTGTATTGTATGTACTCCACAGTGCTACTGACTGTTTTTCAAACACAAACTATTTTACTTTATTTTATTAGAAATGTTTCATTGCCTATACCCATGTCAATCTTTTTGTCATCCGCAGACTGGACAACCTCAAACTGTTCTCTATAGGACCTTTATTGTATAGACATGAAAACACTTTGTATTCATATTTTTGATTAAAAGAAACCGGCTGTACAAATGCAATCTGTTCATTTACTAGGAAATGTAATGTTCTGCAGAGTCCGGAATTTAGCATTTCATATATGTTTGTTGTCATTTCATATATGTTGTATGATGTTTAACATATGTATGTAGCCTATTTGTGATCCAGTCCTGGCTTTATTGACCAGCAATGACCTATTTTTATGTTAATGCTTACTAATAAGTAAATTAATGCACAATAAAAATCAGTCGTGCGTGCGCATAATTTTTCGCGCGCTTTTTGTTGGAAAGTGGAAAGAAGACTTGCTTTAAAAAGAAGAGAGCATAAGGTAAGATACTATTAAAACTAGTGTTTTAGGACATTTCTAGTGACCCATTATTAGTAATACTTGGAAAAGATAACCTAACGCGTTACGTAATATAAATAAGCCGCAAGCTGTGTAACATTTAGGGTCAGACTCCGTATGGCTAAGCTAAGGTGACAGTGGTGAACATTCAAAATTAGCAAAACATTTATTCCTCTGTTGTTGTTTTTTTTTTGCGTTATCTAACATTTGATATATTTCAGATATTGTTTTTAGACGACACAAAACATCTAACGCTGTTGCAAACAAGCTATGTGTATGAATTAATGAATGAATGAATGAATTGTAATGACCTGCATATGACTGACCTCTAGTGGAATGTTGCGGTATTATAATGAAACAGTCATTCAGGCTTTCACAGGGTTTGACATTTATTGGAATCATAACTCAGCAATACTTCACATTCCTCCATGTCCCTTAGTAAATAAGAAATATATACATTAAAGATGTAAGCACAAGGCATGAATAACAGTTCTGTTAAGTAAAAAAAACAAATTTTTTTATTAGACAAATGGATGGTCAAAGAAACCACATTACGTAGAACTGAATATTTCATACACAGGATGAAAAAAAATCTCAGGTTACCCAAAATAAGAAAAGTCAAAAAGAGGTTTCTAAAACAAGGTTCCTCCCTATAATTTGGCATTAATGTAGAACACTAAAACATGCTGTATTTTCAACCAACATTGGCTGAAATGAAGCCACAATACTAAAACGGCAAAAGTAGAAATTATGGATGGATTATTTTCAAATGTGCTCTCGAATCAATTAATCTACGCCTTAATAAGATTGTGAATAATGCCCTTCTCATCATCACCTGTGTTCAGAACGGATGTGAATGACTGAGTAGTATGTAAAATGCCTTATGTTAGGTGTATATTTAAAAATAAAAATAAAAATATTACCTGATCGTAGAGTTAAACCGATTATCGTTCACCTGTTACCCTTACACGTTCCATATGGCTTTTGGCCCGTAGTAACGTACGTAGTAGAAAACATGTAAAGCACCAGGCGCTGTGGTATGAACCTCGTGGATATGTGAATACAGGAAGGGCAGTGAGATGAGCAAGGTCAAAGGTCATTAGATAAGCAAGAGAAGGATGGTTAGATGTTCAGGGTCCCTCGCTGATACAGAATAAGGGAGCTCATGCAGCTGGGCTGGAGAACTGAGAGAGGACGAATGAAGACAGTCTCACCATCAGCACATCACGCTCAAGACTTTAGGTAGGACACAGAACTGCAGGATAGAGACGTGATATTGTGTTATTGGTCTCAACACTACTAAATGTCTGTGCATGTACTTCAGATACATTTATATACTGTATTATATAGCGTTATATTATATTTAATTAAATGTAAAACCATAAAAAACTGAAATAAAATCAAATATAAAAAAAATATTTCATTTCAGCTAGTTGCCAAAGCAACATTTCTCATTTCATTTAGTTTAACTTGATGCACTAAAATAACTCAAACTGAAATAAAACGTAATACTATCTAAACATATCAAAACAAAACAAAAAACGAATAAAAATTACAAAAAAACAAACAACACAATTACTACAACTTTAAAATTAAAATTAAAACTAATTCAAAAACTCAGTGATACTAAAATAATGCAGGTGAGTTATTTATGAGAATATTTAGAGGAGAGCAGTGATATTCTGTGAATCCAGCTATTGCATTAAATTGAGGTAGAAATAAACATGATCAAAAAAGACAATTCCTAGCTGGTAAAATGTTTTCAAATTATAAGCTATTTCAGAGCCACAGTTAGTTTCTCTAAAATTTCTAAATAAATAATAATACTATATAAAAATGATGACAGCTAAAAACACACAAAAATTATAATAATACGAAATTATTTTTAAAAATTATTCTAATTATGGGGGGGGAAGTGTTAGATTTACCTTTTAATATATAGTCAGTCAGGAGGGTCGGGACCTTCTCACTGTCTTCTTTCATGGCATAAAGAACTGAAAAACAATATCAGTTGAATTAATGGTCACTACTTTTTTTTTCCTTTGATGGCCTAAATTTGTTAAATATTAAATAAATCAGTATTAGCAAATATCATTAGTATGAGTGCAGTTAAGTACACTTACTTTTTGTGAGCATTTGCAAGTCATCCACAGATGGAGGAGCCCCTTTTTTCTCATATGGGATGACTGTGTTTAGGTACTGTCCAACATACGTATGAAAAAATAATCAGAAAGAGTTTACAATCAGATCTTATTCCTGCATATATATGCAAGTTTAGTTCAGAACATTAACTGAAATGCTCCTCCTTACCTGTCTTTCTGTTCCTGAGGTCCCAAAGGTCTGTCTGATGCCTGTCTGCAGGATGTTGGAAAGACCCTCCATGCTGAAGCGCTGGAAAACATTAAAACATCAAATAGTAAGTGCCAGAGGCTTAGAAGCTGGTAAAATTCAACTGGGGATCTAGAAATGATGAAAAAAATTCTGAAATGATTGTGCATTTTAACAAATATTAATTTAAAAAATAATAATAGTAGCCACTTATCAATTATCAGCCATGACATGGCTATACAATAATTTATTGGCTAAAATCCTAAGCTTCTGAGTTCAGGAAAAAAGTGCAAACATAATATATTAAATTTGAGCTTCACAATTTTGCCACTAACTCTAGTCACTGTGTACAGAATAACTAAAATGATCAACTCATCCCTGTGAGAACATGGAGGATGAGGACGCAGAGATGCAGTTCTTGCATGATGTAATGAAATCACAGCGGCATTACTGGTATTGCCTTCACAGCTCATACTGCAGGGGAATGCTTCCCCTGCTCTTCCAGAAAGTGCTAAGTGCAGCTGAAGAGTAATGGGGCGAGATCCATTAAACGGAGAGAGAGATGTCTGTGCATGGAGACTGAATGGAGGTAAACATGCAGTTCATTTCAACACACGTACTTTTGCAGGCATGCTCCCAGTCTTCTCGGAGCGGGCAGATCCTTGTAGACTCATGGCCTTGTCCTTACGCCTGCGCTTGCTCAGCTCCCTTTGCTCCTTCTGTCTGTTCTGGACCTCCATCATAGCTGTGATGAAGGTATTCTTCACCTCCTTCTCAAAATCCAGCTCATCCCTCCGGGCCAGCTGGGCCACCAGTTCCTCCGAATACTCTCGTATCGCCGCCTCC